ATTATTTTTAGTATTATTTATTTATTTTATTTAACTTTGCCAATTCTTGAGATTACGCACCGCCGAGCATTCATGGCCTATCATTTCACATGGTCTCATGTTGAGTATACCCAAGCTTGGGACACATCTTGCAAGAGGGTTAGCCATTCACTTGGAAGAAGTGTGGGCACCGGTTTTGAGATTATCCTCACATTCAGTGCCTTCAGCCACGGGCTATTTACAAATTTATACAGTTTACCAACGAAAATGCCAAAATAAACTCGACCACGAAAATCAAGGCGTCTTGAGGGATAACCTACTTCAGTAGACTTTGCAATGTTCGTGATTTCGAGATAAAGTTATCTGAGATCAACAGACTAACGCTACAACGAGTGGTTGACCAAGGATAAAATACTTCAATTTGTGACGAAACAGTTGCCAACTGGTGTGACAAAGTCAGGTATACGTCTGGTAAATGGGAATGCAATGAATTGTGAATTTAGCTGAACACTGAAAAACGCTGTGTGAACGGCACAGTGAGAACTACTGAGTTGCGGGATGAAATGATCCAACTTGTCTGGGAGTACCATTTATGCGGAACTGAAGTGCAGTGTGACGAACCAATAGAAGAAAATGAGAATCATTCTGTAACTCACTCGTTTTCCCATGTTGTATTTCATGGCAGACAAGATTGTACGAAAGTACTTGTTTTTCGACATCAGGGTTTACTTAGACTGGGGAGGTAGTGAAACGCAAGTAGTCGCATCCAGTGTTTTCGTCAACCATGAGGATGGTAATGACGAGTGTGTTCATTCCACTCCATAGTTTTCCTCACTGCTTTGTTATACAGATCCGGCAATCATAACGTTTAAATACGTTACCACCTGATCCGTCTTTTTGGCTGAACTCAACCAGTCTCCATGAACTAAGGCGTGGTTAACGATCAAGGTGATTCAACCACGTCACCAAAGTTCCAGATCGAATGTGTGACCAAAAGCATACAAAATATACTAACCAAAATGTACTAACCAGTATATATTAACTTACCAATGTTTTCCAGTTGCAATCGGCGTCGCTCTCAGAAATTCAAGCATGAAATTCAGTCAACCTGGGGACACTTCACACAAGAGAGTTAGCTTTTAACTTGGAGGAAACGTGGGCTTAGGCCAATGACTCCCATCATTGCACACCAAAGGTGGTAACCATCTGATTTCAATTTTGCTCTTATTGAACCTCCTTAGCCGGTATCGAGTTTATACCCGAGGTGAGTGTGTTACCGATACTCAACCATCGCACGCTGAACGCTTCCTACTTCGTATGATTATCCACCGCATTCTGAGAGCTTAGACCATTGTCATTGTCACAAAAAATGCCAAACACAAAGTTTATCGGAATAACACTCAAATGGAGTCCTGAATTGAAAGGAGGATCTCTTCTGATTGCCGCATTCATCTGAACGAGATTACACAGAAAATAACGGCTAATATTTATCCGCGTTTTCTATAAATCACCTGCGTGCAAAAGATGGGTTTTATTTCAATGATGTTTACGTTTTTTACGATCCTCACTCTAGAGAGCTCATTGTTTGAAAAAATTCCCTTAAAGTCTATCAGTTTTCTTTCATTCTCACAAATGGAATAATTCCTCGATATTCTCGGTTATCCATTACATGCCTTGTGCAATAACAATGATTTGACTAGAAACTACGTGATTGCTGAAACGCGTCTCAGGTAAAATTGGTCTTCGCAGAAGTCACCGAGTGACTAGTGACTGGCTTGCAAGACGGATCTTCTAAACCGGTGGTTTGTATAAATGTTCGTACATTCCAAACAGGGCGAAAATGTCTTTGTTTCCTCCTTTCACGAACTAACATGCCCACTCAAGTTTTTGCCTTCCGTTTCAGGTGAGTTTACAACACACTGATCCGTGATGATTAGGGCCAAATAGATTGCTATTCCACCAATCAGAATTTCGACCAGTTGAGGTCCTTCGGCTTTTCCTTACCTGTGCTAAATTAAGCATATTCCGACGGGATTATCATGTACTCTCTGGCGAATCCCATCTTCTCGCGTGGTATCCTCCATAAGCTCTGAGAATTGCTTCCATACTCACCCTTTGGTTTGTGCACAATAACACACATTCAGAGATAACATATCCTAGACTCAAGCACACGGTGGTCAGTACTTTAGAGGCCTCAGTGTACTGTATGACGCCAATGCTGTGTTCTTCAGTTTTTTGTTGACATGCACCGATTTCCACTGGCACTGAATTCTATGAAATCCGGAAATTGGGTAGAAAATAAGTGAGACTGTAGGTGTTTATATTGAAATTAACTTGGGTAAAGGACCAATTGGGATACAAATTAGACACGTGATTGACAGTGCAAGATCTGCACCACACTGACCTGAGGAAGGTAAAGTTAAGTATCCGTAGTCATCTGCGGATGTACAATGCGGCGATGACGGTGGAAAATATTTAAAATACCAAACGACCGGCCACATAGATAGCATAAAAATGGTCTTTCTTTTGAATGCATGCGCATGTGACCCGCCAGATCCCAGGAGGTCGCAGCTCGTTTCCCACAAATTTCACATATTTTTACTTGGTCTACTCCACTTGCTTGCTCACTTGAATGGGCCACTGTTTTGTGACCTTTTAGAGAAGTGTGTTGTGCAAACGACTTGTTACAAAACTCGCACTTGTAGTTCTTTGATCCTGTGTGCACAGTAGCATGCCGTCGACGGTCAGATAACCGCAAAAATGATTTCCCACAGATGTCGCAGTTGTTCTCTCTCGGAGTCTTGGGTTTTCCATATTTTTCTGGTTGACTACTTCGGGTCGCCTTGTCACGTAGTCTACCACCTAGCACGTTCAAATTCGGATGCTCAGCGTCTACAAAGTTGCTGTATTTACCTGGAAAACAAAATGATAAGACTTTTTATGCTCGCATCTTTCCTAGGTGAAAATTACAGAGCACTTTGGACGGGTGTGTGGAAAGTTCAAAGTTTCCTCACAGCAATTGCCTCTGGGGTGATCATATGACACCAAACATGAAATAAATCAGCGTGGTCTACTCATTTAGCACAAGGGCACCGGCTCCACGTAAACCTAACATGCGGTGAATTTCATCGGAAACGTCAACAGCATGCCAAAATACAACCACTCAACTACAAACGATTTTCTGCGCCAGTTTTTTCTGATGGACTTAACTCTATTTCATTTAATCTTGTTTTGACCTGAAAAGACTACGAAAATAAAATCTTGCAGGCCACTACGTAGTCGCCAGTCTGTCGGAACAGAAAAATTCCAGCTGCATTTGTTAATTCTTTCTTGTAGCATTTTTCAATGTATGAGGTGACAAAGAATCAGTTCTGTGATACCGCGAAAAATTCCTCAGATTGCCGTAGGTAACACACTATTCAGAAGTTTGTTGAAACATATGCTCATAAGGCCGTTGGTAATTCATCAACAACCCTCGGTAGAGTTTGCTAACTTGGAAGGAAGTTGCCGCTTCCTACTTTGATTTTTCTAAGAAGTTCAACTCAATTCAGGTGAATCTCTTGTTTGTGCATATGCTAACCGACAAAGAGAGAACCTGGTGCATGAGAACCTATGGACATACAAGAAACCACAAGGCCACCCGAACGGTAAACCAACTCATGTCATAGATTTCGGTTCGAGAAATAATGTGGAAAAAATCGCACATGTTGGTAAGGATTGCAATGGCTAATATTTCAGTGTAATATAGTTGAATACTTCAGTAAAAGTAGTGGAACGATTTCTGAAAAATAACAAATTCATTAGAGTGCAGTACAACAAATTTGAGAAAACCATAACCGATCAGAATACATAATATGCCTCGATGCAACCTGCTTAGGACGAGAGTTAGCAGCGCTCGGCATGGTCATGGTGGCCAGACGATCTTATGTCGTGGAAACCGTGGCCAATCGGAGAGTTTGGTGCTTATTTTGCAGTCCTGCTACATAACGCGTGACACCAGATGTGCTCGTCATGATCGGGTTGCAGGGGAACTCGCAAAAGGTCGACTAGGATACACCGTCATCGAGGAGTTGAGAGCATCTAAATCGACGTCCTTCGTCAAACCTGACCTGATCGCTGTTCGGGAGCGACGATCAACAGTAATAGACATCAGTATAGTCCCGGATGGGCCCGGAGTGACTGTGTGGGACGGGAAGAAGTGGAAGTATGGGGCTGATGAATATTCTCTCGCCGTAATCTCAGCCCTATGTGCAATCGGTTGTGATGTCAACTTATTGGTCCACCAGCCGATAATCATTTCTTACCGAGGATCTGCTTTCCTCAATCCGCTAAGGCTGTTATTGGACAGTGACTTCCTAAGGTCACACTCACTGACTTGAGTTTGCATGCCATTGTGGGCGCAAGTACGACACGTTAATGCGTGGCACATGGCGTTGAGTGTACAAATAAACGATGATATATTGTGGTCTAATACTGTGTAGTGTGGCATAGCGCAGTGTAGTGTAGTGTAGTGTAGTGTAGTGTAGTGTAGTGTAGTGTAGTGTAGTGTAGTGTAGTGTAGTGTAGTGTAGTGTAGTGTAGTGTAGTGTAGTGTAGTGTAGTGTAGTGTAGTGTAGTGTAGTGTAGTGTAGTGTAGTGTAGTGTAGTGTAGTGTAGTGTAGTGTAGTGTAGTGTAGTGTAGTGTAGTGTAGTGTAGTGTAGTGTAGTGTAGTGTAGTGTAGTGTAGTGTAGTGTAGTGTAGTGTAGTGTAGTGTAGTGTAGTGTAGTGTAGTGTAGTGTAGTGTAGTGTAGTGTAGTGTAGTGTAGTGTAGTGTAGTGTAGTGTAGTGTAGTGTAGTGTAGTGTAGTGTAGTGTAGTGTAGTGTAGTGTAGTGTAGTGTAGTGTAGTGTAGTGTAGTGTAGTGTAGTGTAGTGTAGTGTAGTGTAGTGTAGTGTAGTGTAGTGTAGTGTAGTGTAGTGTAGTGTAGTGTAGTGTAGTGTAGTGTAGTGTAGTGTAGTGTAGTGTAGTGTAGTGTAGTGTAGTGTAGTGTAGTGTAGTGTAGTGTAGTGTAGTGTACAGTGTAGTGTGTAGTGTTGTGTTTGGTACGGTAGGGTAGTCTAGTGTAGAGTATGGTGGAGTAGCGTTGTGCGGTGTGTCGCAGTGCAGAATGTAGTAGGATATAAAATAATGTGCTGTAGTATTATATAGGATAATAAATCATTTCGGGCAATTACGGTATATTACACCGAATTTAAAACTATCTTACCATGGTGGTAGGGCTTCATTTTCTACAGTGCTTCTCAGGGCTAGGCTGGCTGCAAATCTGCCCCGCAAGATCAAGTTATGTCAGAGAGTCAATAGGTCACCAGTCTGGTGAACAACACTGAATTCACATACTATGAGAACTCCTAAATTAAGGTGGTCTTGTCTTACGTAAGACAAGTGGGAAGACAACAAGGTGTTTTCGATGGGTGACCTGCACCTTGATACTAACTTGGAATTGATCTCTTCCAAGAAACGACGAATTGGGAAACGTTGCCCCCAAAATCCATTCATTTTGACTATCCGAAGACCAACCGTGGCAACCATGGAATCATCTTTAACCGTCAAAATATCTTGAAAAGCGAATATCCGATGCTGCTCACAAAACACTAGATGTGCACAGCAATCAGACGTCCATGCTTTACCACTAGTGTTTTTTGTCATTACAGTCGTCCACTGATCGTGAGCCACGCCTTGAAACCGGAACCGCATGATGCGATACCATGCGCTGTGTGAACTGTATAGAAAAGAATAAAGACGCATTTACCGTGACTTAGAATCTCAAAGCTGACGAATCTATCGGATGAGCAGGAAAGGCAAGTCCGCAAAGTGCTCATGTCAGAAAAAGATGCGAAAGGTACAAATTATAATATCTCCTGAAGTTCGGCAGATATAGGAAACCCATCAGAGTTGAGAAAGATGGAAAAATTGACATGAAGATTGCGCCTAATTCGCAGTTGCAGATCACATGAGTCAGGGATCGGTTGGTCAGCCATAGTGTGAAACTTGATAACGGTCGCTATCAAACCCAGTCTGTCTTATTTTTATGGTTATATCTGCTATCTACCTTGCCTCAACCATGTTCGAATACCTGTGACACATCCTTGGATGTGCAAACTCGAGTTGCTGCATTCTGTTGGGGGAATTTACCGCTCGGGTTGTTAAGAATTTGCGAAACACTTCGTTGCATACGCCGTGGTAGGAATGTCCTTGAGGTCTTCAGCCGGTTGGCCCAACTTGGATAATCAAACCACGGAAAACGACGAAGGTGTATTGGGTTTCCCAACCAATACCTGTCGAGAACTGGCGGGATTAGTGGCAGCTAGAACTGTCAGTTTTGGTGGTTACCACTCTCAAGGTGCTATAAACGATATACTCTCGGAATATTTGTAAGGTCACATCGAGATAGATGCTAAGACTCCTGGCTGGTAGACCCCTTTCGGAAATCAACCATTCAGTAGAGTACGATGCATGGTGATACTGTAGAGAGCAGTAATGTTTACTATAGAACCACGTTGTTTTGCGCCGTACATTCCGCTATATTTCGGTGTAATACAGAACATTATATGAGCGCAGACTACGGACGGTTGACATTCTTAATGAGCTCACCGAGCTAATTGGACTAATTAGAAAACCGCCGTCGTTTCTATCTAATATTATCAAACAAAATATTGCTGTAGTGTGCGCTTATCATCTGCACCTACCACAGCAAGAGTGTGAAGCCGGTGGGACACCGCTAAATGTAATATATTGGGAGCTCAAGGTAATAACACTGTATACAGTTGGAAAACATCGACTAGATTAGGAGTGATTAAGGCATGTGCTAGACCTGCACCCATTTTTCAGACGGAAATTTTTGACATTTCACGACACCTGAACGTTGTTGAAAGTTTGTTCCCCTACCGCTCTTGCAAGGTCAACAGCTTGTGGAAGCAAGGTGACTTAGGCGTTGAACACCTACCTCGTGAGACCTGAGAGGTATCAGCTTTTATTTCACATGTATTTCGAAAAGTTGTCACCCGCAACGTTTCACTATCCCCAGATCAGTAAATTTTCCGTAAGAAAATAAAAAGGAATGACAGGCACGTCGGGGAGCAAAGTGTGCTCGAATTTATAGGGACATTGAAGACATGAGGCGGCCTAGTGCAGCACATTCAGTTGACTGGAAATATCAAAACCGAGAGATTCAGTTGGGTTTTAGGTGAGTCTCTTGAAAAACCAAATTAGCTTGCAAACGAGTATATATTCGCCAAGTTCGTGCAATTTGATCTTAAGTAGAACATAAGGTTGACGGAAACTCGGGAACTATGCCTATTTGATGAGCCTCCAAGAAGGGCGAAACCGGTCGTGGCTGTCGAGGAGTTTTCAGTAACCTTATGAGTAGTGCATTACATTCAAGACTCATCTACTTCAGTTGGTTTGCACGGTTCCCACACAGGCCATGGGAGATATCACCGGTTAATAAGACGGCTTTCCTTGAAAGCCCCGTGAAGAATCACGCTGCAAATGTACGAAAGTAAACTGACTGGAAGTATTCATTCCGAATCATGAGGCGCAAAAACCAAAAGCTACTTCCAATGTGCTTGAAATGGGTAACACCGTGAAGTCCAAACTAGAACACCAGATCGCAGATTCACGTATCATTTTCGTTAGTTTTTGATAACAGGATATGCTTGACTATATGGAAATTTTGCGGCCTATGTAATGTCTGACCTCCACTTGCTCCCATTGTGTCCCATTTTCGATCACATTAGTCTTTGTTATAACAGTATGAAATTCGCCTTTCACAGAGAGTCAATGATTTCGTACATTTTTCTGAATTAATTGGTACGAAGTCATCCCCACGTTTTGGTCAAAATTCAGTTGAAAAATCATTCATGAGGACTGAATACTCTGTTTTAAATAAACTGTGAGAAGCAGCTAAAGTATTACATGTAAAACTGTATTCCTTTTTTAACATCCACCGCATATTACACTCAGCTAATCTCATAACGTCATAAACTTCAGCCTTGTATTCAGCACTGATGAGTGACCAGGGAAATCTTCAATCGAAATTTACCGCTCGGCAAACAGGCTACCGTTTAGTGCATTGTTGTACAAAGAACGCTTCAGAAGATTTCTCCTGGGCCCCCTAACCCAATACAAGACTCCGTTTTTATCAGGCCCGTCTAGTACGATGTCAGATACAGCATTTTAGCAGAAGTTTCTCACGCCTGTGACAGACAACTATGGGCAGGGCTATCCGAATGGAAGTGGTTACCCAATCACCAATGAATGATAATAATAATCCAATAGATACCTGAGCCAGCCGGACACAGTTGGGCCAAACACTCCCCGACCAGTGGAGGTATTTTGTTTAATTCCTGGCCAAACACCAGAAAGCCTAATGCATGATTTACATATGAAGTAAATTCTTCCACCTGAAGAAGTCCTAAAAACATGTTGAAATCGGGATTCGACTGGAGGCCTGATCCAGCGAGACGGGGATTATGGATGGCCACCACATTTTCAAACGCAAGCATTAGGGTTTCTTGGTAAAATACGTGATTTAAAAATATTATTGTTTGTCAGTGTTGCTTTGACTTACCGACTGGTGTGTAGATATCCAGAAGCGGATTCAGTGTGTCAACTAAGTTTCGAAAAGAATAATTTGCTAATAAGTGAGGGGAGATCAAAGGAGAATCAAATTTTACAAGTAACGGTTGTATAATGGTAGCATTAATCGAGGCACTTTTATTTCCAGTGCAGATGGATATCGCTTTGTCAAGAATTACTTACGGTTCTTTTTACTCTCAATACCTCCCAAGAGATAGAGTAAAACCATGAGCACTCCACAGTAGACTGACATTCCAGCAGCTTTCGAATTCTCTGGTGTGCGTGACAATACGTAGTATGCTTCAGTTTGCCAGCCAATAGACTTTCTGCCTACTGCCAAGTGCCAATCCGACTGGCTAACTTTTGACCAAATCAGACTGCCCAACACGTCATTCTTGTACCATTCTATTTTGAACATCCGGTTCATCTCAGAAAATTTATGAATCTATGGACTGAAGGAAGGGAAGGGGGATTTTGATGGTTCTGCTTACGTCAGTACGCAATGAACGGCCAATTGTTTCATCTTGACCCACTTTACTTTCGTTCATTAGAGCCCAGCATACAGATGTTAACCTGCATCTAGAAACTTATTGGTCCAACGCAACTATGCTGCATCGAACTCAAAAGCTCCCCCTTCTGAACAGTGTTCTTATGTTCAGTGTATTAAGTAGCAGTAGAAGGAAAGTATTCTCAATGTTGCTGAAACCTGGATGTCATAAACGATGAAACCAGTCTTATGTGAAAAACAAAATTATATCCAAATCAATATATTTTTTGGAGCAGTAGGTCTCCTTTCGGGTGGAAGTGTGGGTTAATTGGGCCACCCAAATACACACGTCAATCTCTATATCTTTGGAGTGATGCAAATTCAACAGACAGAAGGTGAGCAACGCAATCTCCTACTTATATGTCGGTCAATCAAACCGACGATCAGCAACTCGTAGTTGGATGGCTAGGTTTTCAAATTACTATACTGCAGGTCCTAGGTTCACAAGCCCATAAATGTTTTTGATATGAAACAATTGTACCGCGCTCCTCGGGTTTTCCGCATATATAGGCTTCAGTTTCAATCACTAGTTTCCAAGTCCCCTCACACTACCAGCCACTGATTTTGTGCTGAACATCGCTGGCATTAGATCTTAAGGTTGTTTCATATGCAGCACAACTGGAGGTGTATGCGGGTAATATTTGAACGTTATATCGTCATTGCCTGACCTAGTGCGTGCCAGAACCTACGACTCGCTGACTGGGAACTACAGAAATCTGTTCACATCTATGGTACAATTTATTGTTTAAACTTCGGACGCAATGGTTCTGTCTGGAACTCCTTTTGTCAATCAAAAATATCTGGCCGGAGAATGCTGGACAGTGTTTAAGACGCACCTTAAATACGGAATCTTTGTACTCAACGTGGCACAACCAGAGTGATCACAAAATAACGGTCAATAATCTTGTGTGGTCCACTTTATGCACGTCAGATGTGTAAGTATGCATAGATATCAGTTACCCATTTTAGAGACGAATTGTTAAGCACATGACTACTCTGCCATACAAGCTGACGACAAAAGCCAGCCGAATATTTTTCAATACGAGCCAGCGGTTTGAGTATTTTGAACCCTTCCAGTTGCACAAACTATCATTTGAATTCTAATAACAAGCAATCAATTGGTTGTCCAAACATTCAGTATGATACTCACTTCCTTGACAAACTTGGAATTATGTGAACTCTGTTACACCTCGGGTTTCTGAGGATTTCTACAAGATGGCAACAAACACAACATGTATTTACAAGGTAACGCACAGCCTGTCCAGCTTATACCTAAGGTCAGTCGTTTGGCCCAAAATCTGACCGCAGGACAGCGGTGTTTGGCTTCAAATGCAAGTATACAAAGATTTTTACAAAACACATCGCCAAACGTGTTCCAGTGCCCAACCTGTATGATCAGAAGACTGTGCTCTGCAGACATTTAAACAGTGAGCAACGTAGAATGAGACAATCTGCAAGCGTCACGCGGACACCCCTTAGTATATCTCAATGGGTCGTCCGGGTACACAAACCGTCACACCACGCTAATTTTCAGTCTCCCTTCGTAACAGTTTTGTTTTTATTTGTTTTCCAATTTATTCATTCCTTCATTCATTTATTGAATGAAAGCACAACATACGCATCCGCAACACACAAAAGCCAACAGGGACGAATAAAAGCAAAGCCAAAAAACATTTGTGAACACAACAAGGAGGAATGTAGGATTAATTTGATCAAAATGCTTCAGCAACTTCAAGTTGGATTCAAGAGAATAAGTGGGCATTTTCGCCGCTTTCGATATCACCAAAGCTTTCAAAGCCAAAACAAAAAACCGAGTGCAAATCAGCTCTTTCGGAAAGCAAACCCTGTTGAAGTTGAATGCAGTCTGATGCGTAACAAGCTCCGCTATTTGTGTCTTGTGAACCAAAAACTCCGAACGCGAAACAGTCTGTTAAGAATTAATCGAAGCACGCCAGAAAACGCTTTACTTGGACAGCCTTAATTTACGTGACTCTTATATTTATACAATTGTCCAGGATCCTATATTGATAGGCTACACAGACATCGCAACCTAACGTCGGTTGTTGCCCTCACAGTAAACCACTCTGCTCTACTATAAGTAATCCAAATGGACGCCAACAATAAGTAGGAATTGGATATTTGCCAGACAGCCACGTAACTCGAAAATTACGCACTACGAATAGTCAGACACTTTCTGTTTTAACATTTTAACGTTTCCTCAAAGCACCAGTGTGCCAAGTTTAAGAAAGCAGGATATAAATACAACCACATTTTTCTTGCTATAACTCCACAATCAAATTATGTTGCGGAGCTCCAGGCTTTGACTTGACTATTCCGCTGTGATGCCAACTGTGAACGGACAAGCGGGATTTATGGCTTAAAAACGGGCTTCCATTGAAACATCGCAAAATCTCAATGTGCCTTCCTTTACCGAGACAGTCTTGCTTGGGAACCCAGCGAACGTGATTGAACTTCAATGTGTGACAACCAATTACATGCGTCCACCATCGGTTAGACGCATATGGATAACACCAGGCGGAACCAACTGTGCATTGTTCTGTCGAAAGTGAGCACTTACACTCATGTCCCTTAAACTGGTGATCAAGTCTCCAGGATATTTAGATAGATTTCATGGGTACACCTGCACGGGTCTTACAAAGTTCACTTTGAATTTAAGTGCTGCGGATGGATGTTTATATTATAAATCGACGTGAATACGTAATGCCTGTGGTTGCAATGTGAACTTATAACTTCGTCATGAACCGCTGCCAAACTGAGGAGAAGAGACCCTGGTCAATTTTAATCGCCCGTGGATATATCTTGCTGTGGTGATAGTACGGAGGTGGCTTACTTGATATGCCAAACGACCAGTCACGTAGGTCGCATACAAATGGTCTCTCTTTCCAATGCACACACATGTGAACTGCCAAATTCTTTTTACACACACCTCACTTTACGTATAAATTCACACGTATAACTTTTCATTCCTCCATTGGATTTCTCGCCTGCATGGGCCTCCAAAATATGACACTCCGGCGCTTCAACAGATGTAAACAATTTGCCACAAAACACGCACTAGCAGTTCTTTGTATCGGTGTGTACATGATCATGGTGTCAAAGCAGAATTGCCGTGTCCGACTAGTTTTGTTTTGTAGTCTTGGTTTCTTCGGGTTCTGTTGGCTGACAAATTCGGGTTATTTCTTTTAACTGTCTACTTTCTAGCTAACTTGAGACACCTACGGCGTCAGAATGGTTTATCCCTGAATCTGAAGGGAAGTGTGTATCAAGCTACGGTACGGGCTGTCTTGTTGTATGGCTGTGAGACTTGGCCTATTCGAGCGGCGGAACTGAGACGTCTTCAGGTGTTCGACAATCGTTGTCTCAGAACCATAGCTCGTGTGGGTTGGTGTCGGCGAATCCGTAACGAGGCAGTTAGAAAGCGTGTTTTCGGTTGTGTAACGGGTACTTCCATTGAAGAATGTGTCCAGCACCAGAAGCTGCGTTGGTTGGGACATGTGTTACGTATGCCGAACCATCGTTTGCCGAAGAGAGTACTGTTTTCCATGCCCAATTCGGAGTGGCGTAAACAGAGAGGTGGCCAACCCTTGACTTGGCAGAGGAGTATGAAGGAGATCACGAAACGCTTGGGTGCTGTCGGTGCTACTCGCCTTCCAGGATGGGGACCGCGTGATCCTCACTGTGCCTGGTTGGAGACACTACAAGATATGGCTGCCAACCGATGTCAGTGGCGTTCCTGTTGTCAGTTTCTATCCAGATTGCCTGAGTGAATGTCTGGACGTGTAAGCACCTCGGAATGATTGTGGTAAGCTATTACTAAGCCCCTCCTCCGTCCATCTGTACTCTTTTCTTTACAAGAAGGCTTTCAAATAAATCAGGGTTGTACGGCATTGAAGCATCGGTGTTGAACACTGATGTCATGCTGTCGATGATGATGATGATGATGACTACTTTCTAGCGGGTCCGATTTAGTAGGTTGGGTGTTTCCGGAGTAGCTTTTCATCTTGAAAATAAAATGTGATGGGTTTCCATTTTGTGCAACGTTCGCAGGTGGAACGGTGGATGACTGTGTTTTAAAACCAATAACCCCAGAGGGTTTGTTCTCATAGGTTTGGCAAGCCCTGACATACACATAAGCATAACTTCCAAGTAAACTTGATATGTATCGACTTTTCGCCAGTGGGTTTGGACAAACTGGTACCAAAGAACTCGTGGCCGTTGGGCAAAACGCTGAGCATTGAACCATAAGCAAGTTTTAGCTCCTGTTATTCATTCTGATATCTTGCTGTGGTGATGGTGGGGGTACTTGATATGCCAAACGAACAGCCACATAGGTCACACACAACTGGTCTTTCTTCCGAATGCACCCACACGTGAGCTGCCAAATTCTTTTGATGCACGCCTCACTTCCCAGAAGTTTTACATGTAAAATTTTGCATTCCTTCATTGGATTTCTCGTCTGCATGGACCTCCAAAACATGACGCTCCGGCGATTCAACAAAGCTAAACAATTTGCCACAAAACACGCATCGGTAGTTCCAGCGTACCGCCTCGCGCCACTCGGTTTCACCGGAACCAGACAGATCGTTCCAAAATTCGTCGAGCTCACTAAACAGGTGATGAGGCCGCTCTCCACCACAATCGCACGCACCTAGCAGGAACATCACATTCTCGGATCAGTGGGAGGGGCGCTTGGATCGGTTTCCCTGTCCTGGCTGGTGACTCGCTCCCGTCTACGAGATGTCGATGAGATGATTAACCGGCTGAGCTGTGTCCGTGTAGCGCTCTGGTGGCTGCTCGATCCTCAATGGAAGGGAGCCCGATAAGCATCATGGGTTTCGAGCGACGAGCCGCAATTTCGTCCTGGGAAGGTTCGCAAGCATGGTATCGAGCACCGGAATCTACGACGGGTTCATCCGCGAGTTTAGCATTTTGAGTCATGTTCCACGCCTGTATAAATTTCTGTTATCCACGGGGGCTTCCACGATGTATATGGCTTAATATATGCACATAATTCAACTGTAACTAACAAAGACTGTCGATGGTCTGACACTGCAAGTAGCTAAACCACGGCGAAATGGACTGACGAGGTTAGTAAATTCATAAACGTGGTGTGCACAAGATCTTGGTGTCAGAGTTGAATGGCCGCGTCTGACTAGTTTTATTTTGTGGTCTTGGTTTCTTCAGGTTCTCTTGGCTGACAGATTTGAGTTATTTCTGTCAGTTGTCTACTGTCTAGCGGGTTCGAGTTAGTAGGTTGGGTGTTTATGAAGTTGCTTCTCATCTTGATAAAAGCATGTTGTGCAACATTCGTAGATCAAACGTTGGACGACTGCGTTTTAAAACCAATATCCCCCGGAGGGTATTTTTCTCGTAGGTCTGGCCAGCTCTGTCACAAACAGCATGAATGACTCGTCTAGCACATGAGCCTAGCATCCAAGTCAACTTGATTTGTACCGACATTTCACCGGTGGGTTTGGACTAACTGGTACCAAAGAACTCGTGGCCGTTGGGTAAGACGTTGGTCATTCAACCACAAGCAAGTTTCACCTCCTGTTATTCATTCTGTGCCATTTGCACTTGCGCCAACTTAACTGGAAACACCACAAGGCTGAAAGCCAATTAGGTGTCGCCTGAACACGCAATTTTCCGGAAAACCACTTAGAAATGCTAGTTTGCGAGCACGTCGTTAGGAAAATCATAAGCGACAAGTTTAGCTGGGTTTCAGGCGCATCGCCCATCTAAAACAGCTAGGTATTTTCAGAATGCCTAAGGACGGAACAAGTAACAAGCTAATCATTATTCTGCTGAAATCTCGGAAAGCCTGGTTGTAACATCCGATTTCAAGCGTTAACTCTACTGCCTGTACTGTACTGTACTGTACTGTACTGTACTGTACTGTACTGTACTGTACTGACCGGGTTTATCAAGATCAGCTTCCTGAAAGCAACCGCTGAATGCCCGAAATCTACCGAGACTCTCAGCTCCGTTAGAGGTTGACAAAAATCTACCGCAGAGGGATAGTGAAATCCAAGACCCAGACGGACGTGAGAGGCGTGTATGAACATGTGTCAAAAGTTGACGTGGAAACACAACGCGATGGACCCAATATTGCACATTAGACGCGGTCTTTTGGTGACGCTTGATATGGGGTAGGTGTCGTCAAAGGAGCACACTTGAAAAAACGTTAGGTGGAATATTGGTTTTATCCACATACCAGAACAAGCATGTTATTTTATTCGAAGTTCCATCAGAGGAGACCACTTGAGTAACCAGTCAACACGTGGCCACCTGATAGGAATTGGGCGACTGATGGATGAGTGGTGCTCTCTAAGTGCGAATTAATCGCACTAATGATCGGCGGCCCGTGGTCAAACCGCTACTTGTTCAAAGTAGCACAGTGGAGCTCTCGGGCTCATGACTCCTTGAATTTTTAGATGGCCACTGCAGGTGATACTCAATAGGGATGAACCGTTACTGGATGGTTTCTCGGAATTTCCTTCAAAACGCATGCTCATTTGGTGATCAGGTTGATCAAATTCAGTCAAACTTACTCCTGAAATACACAGGGTGACGTGATGCTTAATTAGTGCGAACCTAAGAGCGTTATAATTGAAGTCGCGAAGAATGATCGATGTGACCAACTCAAATGATCTAGCTAGTGTGACTGATAGAGTAATTGACGCTTGCCGTTAATTGGGCAGCATTGAGAATTAACAAGAATTCTACGCTAATTGTATTCCGCAAATGCGTTTCGTTTGAATCCGACACCGGCAAATCTAAAAAATATCGATATGGATGGGCGTTGTAATACAAAAGTGCACGACATAAGAAATGGTGGCCAAATGTTATTTTACTGAAGCTTATTGCGGAGAGCCATTTGGTAAAGCAATATCAGGATGTTCAGTTTGATCTTTCAGCAATTTTCGTTCGACACAATGCCGAATAACTAAGGACGAAACAACCATGTTCATATCTGCGGAACATCCGCTTGGATTTGGTCAACATGCAGCTGGAATTGAACGCCACCGATATGTTTCATCAGACTTCCTGAAGGTTCACGTCAAGTATGCTTCCTAAGCCCTGGTTTAAATTTGCCCGTGGTCGAAACCTCAGCGGAGTCCTATTACCACTAAACTTTTGAATAGGTGAAACGACAGTGAGCCCAACCTATGTCTCCAGATTGAATGGATAACAAATATCACAGTCTGAGAAAAACGTTCAATATCTCAATTCAGATGAACAATGTGATTTTCCTCCATGGTTCTGTTTTAAACTACCAAGCCTCAGGCCTGTCATCTGAAATCCCATTTCGATGAATTGGGGCAGCGTTTTGTGTAACCAGTTAGTTTGTGCCATCCACAAACACTTTCCGCAGTACACTGAGAGTTGAGGTTATACCTCGTCAATGTGCTCACGGTAGATTAAGTGTCGCGTTCCGAAAATTCAATCTCGGAACGTACTCCAGCTTGGGGTGAAACTCGCAATAGGCCTGACCACACACTTGGAAGAATCGATGACACGGCTTTGAATATTTTGCACAAAAATAGCGCCTCCGTCGACGGGCTATTCACACATCCAGCCTATTCGCTATGGTGACTGCTACAATTAGGTTGATGGCGGAATTCAAGCCCTCTTAGGGGATGGAATTCTTTAGTAGATTTGGCACTGAATTTCATTCGAAAATGAGGTTTTTTGAGACCAACGAATCAGGACTGCAATGCGGTTGACCGAGAACGAAACCGGGCGCACATCCGCTAAATTGAAATATAGGGACTTTTGAATATATTTCGGCTATGACAATCACTTCTTACACAGCGCAGCGAGAACAACGATGCTGACTTGGCTGGCGCAATGAGTAAAATATGGAATAAAACAAAACAAACTGTGGGGTTGGTAGCATCCTTCATACAAAACTGAACACTACCATGATCGATCAACAAAACAACGTTGGAATCGGTATGACATGACTCTGGATTAATTTATCGGTTACTCTACGATTTGGTTTCGTATAAACGACGAAACCAGGAATTAACTTCCCATCGTTTTATTCTGCATCACCTGTATTGTGGCAGTCGAATTATACGAAGTGTGATTCATGTTCGTGAGCGATTGGCATACGGTCAGCTCATCCGAAGGCAGATAGGGAATGATGAACCAACGTTCCTCTCAGTTGTTAATCTCACTGGTGATGATGATGATGACGGATTGTTCGTTACTGCCTTGTCGTACAACTCCCTGTGATGCCAGACACTGCTTTGGATCTGGTCGCTGTGCTCTACCGGTCATCTTGTTTGCTCGCCGCTGAGCTAAACCGGCCCCAATGACATTACCACAACTGACAGCTTGATTAAGCCAAATCCCCATAAACTTGACTGAGATTCGTACCACCACTGATATATTCCACTTTCCCTTGACATATTTTGATTACCCTAAAGCGAACAAGCGGAACATCAGTTGGTAAGTTTCGCGTTCATATCAGTCAAGCTTTCTTGTTCTGGCCCAGTTATCTATGAGTCCACTTCAAATGAATTAAGCGAGACCAAAGTTACATTTCCTAGGTTTCCGGACTTATAAAAGAACATTGCTGTCTTCACTCCGCTGTTCACACTCGGTCCTCCGCTAGAGTGGCCATTGACTAAGCCTGATAAGCGCCTGCAAACCCGTTGGTGTAAACTCAAGACAAGTAAATAGATCCAACTACTTTATAAACCCTACGGTTACTCTGGGCACTTCGTCTGTCCATGATCTTCTACAGAAGCACCCCGCTGCGAGTAGTAAGACGTGATTCCCAACAAAAATCAACTCATGAGTATCAAAATTAGTACTTGTGTCGCTTCAGGAACATTATTTTCTGCCACTTACAGTGCAGTAAGTCCGCACAGTTGGTCTGGTTGCTGAGTTTCCTGCCCGACATTTCAAACAATCCGGATTGATTGAGATGAAGTCACATAACGTCGTGCACCAAATGACGTTCTGATTTCCTTCATCTTCTCGATCGTCTACCGAAAGTCCTTTCTCAGTGATTATGAGTTGATTAGGAAGTACACGAATGCTAAAGCATGCTGATAGTCCTGATCAACTTGGGAAAGTCAGCCTACACACACACTCGATGATTCGTTTACCAAGTTGCTGCATGCCGTACCACACACACACACACACACAGTCGAAGATGGCGATCCTTGCCTCAAGTGCACATTGATCAGTACTTCAGATCCCTAATGATATTGTATAGAGCACAAGTTGATAACATTCACGATGAGTTCCCAAATTTTTACCCATATCGCTTAGAATTTGACTCGCCTTGATTCTAAATGACCCATAAATGGAATTGAGATAAAACTCGATTGTGGATGCGTACACTGAAAAGGCACATAGTTACATCATCAACAAGTTCGGTACAAATTAGACGTGCACGTGAGTTTGAGACCAGTCTTTGTTCGATTATGACCTGGCGGACGAAAGCGAATTTAAGCGTCTTGAGTGGTCTGAGGGTGTAAAGCACGACGATGACGGTAAAGATTACTTGATGTGGCAAAGGACCAGTCACATAGATCACACGCAAATGGTCTTTGTCTCGAATGCACACGCATGTGAGATTTTAAATCCTTCTGGGATGCGGCTCGTTTCCCACAAACTTCACATGTGTATATTCGCAGTCTTCCGTTTGATTCATCGATTGCATGGACTAACAATCTGTGATTCCTTAGATTATGGACATATTTAAAAGTCTTTCTACAAAACTCGCACTCATAGTTCTTTGAAGTGGTGTGCATGACTTCGTGACGTAGAAGTGAGCTTGGCACCTTGAACGATTTACCACAAGTACCGCACTTGTGCTGATTGGGAGTCTCTGTCTTATCCGGTTGTGCTGGTTGAATACCTTGTGTAGCTTCGTCACGTTGTCTATGGTTTAGCTCGTTCGGGTTCTCATGTTTGGC